GCTTTCAACCTGTCGTCCCCGGGCAGCTGAGCACCTTGCTCAGTATACAAAGTGGACAACCGTGCAAGGCGTCCTGGTGACCGCTCTGGAGGAGCAGGGGACCTGCAGCGATGAATGAGGTCTGATCCCTGATTTCAAAGAGCTGGGACCCTGGGTGGAGAACAGGGAAACTCAATGTCACTAGTATTGACAACGAGGGTGCTCGGCCGTGGGGTCACTGTCAGCAGAAAGAGGGGCGATGGAAGCCCATCAGACACACCCACACAGATCCTTTTCGGGAGGATAAGTGGGGCGACCGCAGTTATTTCCAGTGCTGCTTGTTTTCTGTCAGCATGCTGGAATTTTATAGTTTCCTGCTCCGTCATTACTGAGCGCACACGTTCTTTTCATGCTGAGCAATCGATGGCCGTGGGCAGCTCTCTGCCGATGTCACTTTAAGTTTTATATGTCCAGCGTTGTCTGCAGCCCTACCACTAGACCCCCCCCCCCCACAGTATTTTACACACTGATCTTTCCATCTTGGGCTGTTTGATCATTTGGGTTTCCCCAAATGGATGTGACAACCTTCTGATTCCTGTAGCAGGGAAATGCTTTGATTTGTTTTTCAAAAAATTGTTTTATTTACTGACAGACACTAAGTTCCCTGAGCAACAAAGGCAAGTAATGAAAGGTTAGCATCTCAAGATGCCAGGCCCTCACTGGCCTCGCTGGTTGGAGGCATGGCCGGAGTTGCCTAAGGACTTCAAAGATGCCATCTGGAACCTGTCCAGCTCCCTCTAGGTCAAGGACAGGGCCGGGGAATGAGTTGCAGGGCAGGGGAGTGGGTGTGCGTTGGGGGACAGGAACCCACCCTGTCCAAGGCTGCCTCTCCAGTTGGGACCGTTCACCCAGCAAGGCTGGGGAGCTTGTGTGGGAGACTTTGGGGATGGGCTTGTGTGTCCAGCAGGACTTAATGTTCCCAAAGAAGCTGAGAGTCAGGGAGGGTGCAGGACACCCCAATACCCACTTCCTTCTCTCACCTCCCTCCGAACCCCACATTTCAGTGTCAGTCCAGGGTGGTCTAGAGAGTTCTGCTGCCCCCTCCCCATGGGCCCCTGTAGGGAAGACATTGTACGGAGGGTCTCTGAGACAGGGGTGGGGGCCTGGCCTAGGGGACAGGAGCAGTGTCAAGAGAGAGTCCACTGAGAAGCTGCTGCAGGGCTCTGGATAGCACAGAGATATTGGCCAAAATATGCTGCTGATTCCCCAGGTCCTTGATTTCTGTCCCTCTTTCTTCCACTGGAATCCTTTCTGTCTCAGACCTGCTTCAAGGACAAAGCCTGATTTCAGTACTGTTGTATTTTGGAGAACATTTTAGTCCATGGGCAGCCTCTTTCTTAATTTTTTTTTTTTTTTTGGTAGCAGGGATTGAACCCAGGGCACTTAAGCACTGAGCCACATCCCCAGCCTTTTTACTAATTTATTTAGAGACAGGGTCTTGCTAGTTGCTTAGAGCCTCTCTAAATTGCTGAGGCTGGCTTTGAACTTGGGATCCTCCTGCCTCAGCCTCCCGAATACACTAGAGTGACAGGTGTGTGCCGCCACACCCAGCTTTCTTTTTTAATTCTTCAAATGGGTGCCTTGTAATTATTTAGTAAAAAGCATTATTTATTTACTATTTTGCATTACTGGAGATTGAACCTAGGTACTCATGCTAGGCAAGTGCACCACCACTGAGCCACATCCCCAGCTCTTTTAAATTCTTTGGTTTTGAGACAGGACCTCACCAGGTGGCTTAGGGTCTTACTAAGTTGGCTGAGGCTGACCTCCAACTTGCCATCCTCCTGCCTCAGCCTCCTGAGTAGCTGGGATGACAGGTGTGTACTACTGTACCTGGCAAAAAGTCTTCTTTAATCAACATGCAGGCTTAGAACAAGCAGGGAAGACCTTTCCAGGGGTGGCGGGTTGGGATGGGGAAGGGGCTTCTCCAGCGTCTTGTAATTTGCTCCTTCCTCCGTCAGGGCCTAACTGTGGCCTTCTCTTCCAGATGACACAGCTCGTTCTGAAACCCATGGAATCAAGGTAAGGTCACTGCTGGAAAACTGTGGAGTCACATGGCCTCCCTGACCTGTTGTCAACCCACCTGGGGACGTGGGGGACAGCGTTCAGCCCGCTGCTGCCTTAACCAAAGATAAAGACTAGGATGAGAAGACTTGGAGGTTTTGGGGGAAAAGTAACATTCTGGGCCAGGCAGCTCCTCAGACAGACTGGCACTTGGAAGGTCAAGTGTGACGCAGGGGAGGGAGGGAGGCAGCAGCGGTGTCAGCACACCTTGGATTGAAAACAATTAACTCATAAAAGAAGCCAGTTGGCCTGAGGCCAAGAGCGTGTCTTTGTTAGTATGAATTTCAGCTTTGGTCAGAATGAAGACTCTGATACATGGGTAAAAATCTCCACTGTATCAGTTCCTTCATTTATTGCGAGTTTATATCATCCTAATTCTGCTCGAGATGGGATTCCACCATATGACCCGTGACGTGTCTTAGGGTGACTCTCTGGGCCCAGAGAGACCTAGAGCTCCTGTGGTCATAGTTAGGGTGGAAGGTCCCTGCCCCTGAGTCTTGTCTGAGCGGGGTTGGCTGTCTGTACTTTGACATGGAGACCCTTGTCCTAGCAGATCCTTTGTTTCCAGTAAAAAAGCCTTTAATGTCACATGGCTGCCAAGTGACACCACTGTGTGATGTCCTCCTCAAGAACTTAGTGGAAGTTCAGCTCCTGTTCTTGGCAGCAGAGCTCTGGGCAGACGTGGGAGTCTGGGGAGGCTGGAGTTGGACGGTGCTCACGGGAGACCCTTTGGTTTCCTTCCACCGAGTTGGGATCAAGCTGCAAAGTAATGGAAGCTTGCTTCTTTGCCTTTTAGGCGGAGGGGGCTCATCTTGAACATTTCTTCTGGGGTAGCGCTCTGCCCGTGGCCTCTGTACACTCTTTACTCGGCTTCCAAGGTGAGTGATCAGCTGTCCGCGCCTCTCCCTTCTTCTGCTGGGGGCCGGGTGTGTGTCCCAGTTGGTGCTCTGCTTGGGATACTCTGGCTGATTGATGGAGCGTTGCCTGGAGGCAGTCTCATAGGTACAGGGCGAGCTAGCCAATGGGGAGTCTGTATGCAAATTATAAAGACACGCCCCCTCTGCGCAGCCAGCCCAGGGGCTGAGCCCAAGGGCCTCCTAGACCGGGGTCCTGGCTCTCTTCCCACTGACCCCGGTGACTTCCTAGCCTGGTGTCGGCAAGCCCTGGTCACAAAAACAGCCCTGGGATAGCACGTGCCTTACCAGGAAGAGCATCCGCAGGAATTTAATCGGTTTGCAGTGGCCCTGGAGATATATTCACACTGAATGGCCTCAGGGATGTATTATCCTAAAATACACATTCGTGCTCCCGATGCCCTCAGGGCCTCCTCCGAGGCCAGGGGATGAAGTGCACATGCCCGTCATGACAAGTCACTGCAGTTCCTCTACTTTCTCCTCCCCTGCCCTAAATTTGTCCAGGTATAACTGACAAATAAATTCGGCGTATGATCTACACCGTGGGGCTATGCTTTGATGAGAGCACAGAGTGTGACATGATTGTTAGCGTAGCCTTGGCCTCATGTACTTATTGTTCTGCAGGGAGAACTCTGAAGATCTACGCTCTTAGCAACTTTCAAGTATATAATACGCTGTGTTGTACAACAGATCTCTGAACTCTTTATCCCATGGAACGAAAATTGCTGCCCACATCTCCTCCAGGCAGGCTGTGTCTCTGCAGCATAGCGTCTCTGTGGGGCCCCTTGAAATCAGAGCAAGTTGGTTGTAAACAGAGAGGACGAGCCCTGGAACCTGACGTGATTCCTTTTCTTACTACAGGCTTTTGTGTGCACATTTTCCAAGGCACTGCAAGCAGAATATAGAGCAAAAGGAATCATCATCCAGGTGAAGTAGAGAGCTGTCGTCCTTGGGAGAGGAAGTTCTGGCCCTCTGTGGGGCAGGGGCCTCTACTCCTGCAGGACTGGCTGTGCATAGGCAGCCAGTTGGGAGGTGGACTGGGTGGATGCTATGGGGGTTCCTGTGATCGTTGCTGGAGCAGCTGCAGCCACTGTGATCCCACTTGCTGCTGTGGTTTCTGCTGCCCTCACTTGTGCCCTGGGTGCTGGGGGAGGAAATGAGGCAGGGATGTGGTTGCTCAAAAACTATGTGGCCCCCTTTGCCACCTCATGCTGCGTCAGAACAGAAATGGGGCTCTGGTCTGACCACCGTTTCTTCTCTGACTCATATTCACAAGGTGGGCTCACATGGGAGGAACTGTGGAGACGGAACAAGGGAAAGCTGGGTACTTGGTCCACTACGGGGCAGGGGAGGGTCTTCCCCCAGGGGCTGCTGATCTGTGATGGACCCCAGAGACCCTTCACTCCGGTCTCGGGCAGGGAGGGAAGGGCCGTCCTGGAGATCCCCTGCCTCCACCTCAACAGGGCTGGGTGGCCGCTGCCCTCTGCAGACGGAACGAGTGACATTCTGAGGTGTTGATGACCTACACGAGCTTGGTTCAGAGTTCAGGGGTTTCTAGAACCTAAGCACACAGAGGTGTTTACTTTGTGTTGTTTTGTCATTGTTGTCGGGGAAGAGGTTGGGTGACATCATCATGGCTGCACCCAGTGGTTTTAGATGAAGTTCCCCACGCGGGGAGCAGGTCAGGCACCCAGAGAACCAGGAATGGAATGAAGCTCAGGACCCAGGCTATATGTCGATGGTAGGAATTTGGCCAAACACAACATTTTCCTGGCCATAGTGCGTGATTGTGACTGCCGTGTCCCGGTACCACAGTCCCCTTCTCTGCCCTGTGAGCCCGTCTCACCATGGGGGGGGGTCTTTCTCCCCCACAGGGGGCTGTCCGCTCGGACTCCCAGTGGGGTTGGCACTTCCTTTTGCAACAGAGCTTCTCCACTCTGGCTAAGTTTGCCGCAGTCAAGAACAACCCCTGAAATCTCCATTCTGCATTCATGCTCCCCGCTCACTGGGAGCCGGCAGAAGGCACAGCTCATTGTGTTAATGATGGGCGGCTGCCATCTTGAGTGCTGTCATTTGACCCAGCAGAGTTGATGTAGCCTGGATTCTACAAGATCTTGCTCTGGCAATTAAGTGCTGTGGCCCGGAAGTGACACGGGGCATTTCTGCTCATACCTTACTGGCCAGATCCCGTAACATGATCTTACTCCAGGAGGTTCAGATCCAGCATGTGTGTGGGAGGAGAAAGAAGAGAGATCCTTGGTGGCGTCTTTTGTTTGGCACTGGGGATTGAACCCAGGGGTCTTTAACCATGGAGCCACATCCCCAGCCCTTTTTTGTATTTTATTTAGAGACAGGGTCTCACTGAGTTGCTTGGGGCCTTGCTAAGTTGCTGAGGCTGGCTTTGAACTTGAGATCGATCCCCCTGCCCCAGCCTCCCGAGCTGCTGGGATTCCAGGCACGCGCCACTGTGCCCGGCCTTGGTCATTTCTAAACATGAACGATTGCCCTAGCCACCTGCTGCTCCTTAGCCACGTGACACTCAGCATCAACTTGATCTTTATTCTTGTGGACCAGAGGTACTGCAGCTGCCTCAGCTGGGTTCAAGAAGGCAAGGGAGTGAAGGCAAAAGAGCTGTGACCTTTCAAAACCCACAGGCTTCTCTAGGGTTGGTGCTCAATAAATGTGTGTCAAATCAGTGCGGACCTGTGTACCGCAGGCACGGGTTTAAATTCGACCCCTGTTCTGCTCTTACCCCCTGAGCAAGTCTTAGCTCATTTAAAATCTGAGAGCCTCAGTTTCCCATCCATCAACAGGTTTATAATAGCGCCCGATTTCTCTGGATTAATCACAAAGATCTAATGACTAAGTAAATGTGCAAGTTTAACCGTATTTACTGAGCTCCTCTTTTGTACGCCTTTCCGTACCAAACTCACTGTAGGAATGAAAACACTGACTACTATTTCCCTATCTGAAGTCTGGGTTTGACAGTGCTCCTGATATTTCCCAAAGAGGAACATTTTGAGGTCCCTGGATGAAAAGTGTCAAATCAATCACAGCATTGATTTCCATAAGAACCAATTCAATTGGATGGGTGGACACATAATCACGTTCAGTTATAAAACAAGGTGATTTCAGATGGGATGAGAAGGAAAATAAAACTGGGAACACTATCCTGGATCTTTTTCCTTCTAATGATGCCAGGTCTCTGATTCTGGGGGGAAGTCACAAAACCCCAGATTGGGTCCTCATGCCAGGAGCAACGGCTGTGGACTCCAGGGCGCACACTTCACTCTTCTTACTTCGAGAGGAAAGATTATGACGTTTGTGCAGATCATGGTGCCAAAGTGGGGTGTGAGAGTGGGAATCCAACATGCTTTAAGTTCTTCAACTTTGGTTATTACACGGATTAGAAATGATCTTCTGAGATGAATATCTCATATTTATCTAATAGCTAATATTTCTGATGAAATATCCAACATCCAGTTCAATTTGAATTTCAGATGAGTATGAATGATATTTTGCAGTAAGTGTGTCCCATGCCACGTGTACATGATCATGCTGAAGTTTATTGGTTGTCAGCCTGGACTTTAGCGTTTCCTGTGTTTTCACTTGCTGTGTCCAGCGTCCCTGTTTCCAGAGAGCTCCTGTCCCTTCTCGGTCACCCTGTGTGCTGTAGCAGGATTTCCAGCCACCTGTCATTGTGTGGTGACGGCTCACGGGAAGTCAACCTTTCTGGTTCCCAGCTTTGTGCTGGTTCTACACCTTTTATATTTAAGGATCCTAAACTGTTTATGGGAAGAGAAAAGTTGGGAAATGGTGGGTGGTAAAGGGGGTGTGGACGGAGCCTTCTCGGTCATGCATGCTTCTGTCTTTATCTCACCCTGTAGGTGCTGACCCCATACGCGGTTTCCACCCCAATGACCAAGTATCTGAATACCAACATGGTCACCAAGAGGGCCGATGAGTTTGTTAGAGAATCACTGAATTTCGTCACGGTGGGAGATGAGACCTGTGGCTGCCTGGCCCATGAAGTCTTGGTAACCCATTTCTTCTTCTCCCCTTGACACCAGACAGGAGGGAGGTGCCGGGTGTAGCTGGTCTTCCTTGCTGTTGGGACACTCAGCCCTTGTCTCTCATGGCACCCACACGAGGCCAGTGGCTGTGCTGCCACATGGTCACAGCCAGTGAACGGGAGTCTGTGGCGAGGAGGGGACAGGCTGGAGGCCTGGTTGCTCAGTCCTCGGGGAGCCCAGAGCTCCTTGGACGCCTTGCTTTTCCCCTTGGGATGGAAGAGGCTCCCCGGAGCTCTTGGGTACAAAGGACCAGGACTCCCGGAGCTTCCACGGCCGCTCTCTTCCTCGGCTCTCTGCTCTAGTCGACACGGAACTATCAGCCCTCCAGGGGAAAGAGAGGAGGGCCATTGTGACTTGCATCATTTGCCGATTTCCGTGGTATAAATATCCCACCGTGACTATCAAGCACGTGAACGGAGGAGAGGTGCACACCGTCCCCCCCTGTGAGCAGGCCTCAGTCCAGCCTGCCTCGAACCCCGTACGATAGAAATGAGGTTCATGGCATGTGGCACTGGGGCGCTTTCCATTTCTGGGCTGCAGGACCAGCATAAAAAACCAAGGGAGACTGAGCATTGCGACTAATACTGAAACACACGTGCACACACCCACACACACTCACACCCACACACTCACACACACACTCACACAGACTCACACACCCTCACACTCACACACACACACACACACACACACACACACAGAGCCAATGTAGCTTTGTTTCCAGCCTCATCCAATTTTGGATGGACCCTGTCCACTGCCCATCATCTGTCCATTTTCTCCTCTGCTCATGGCTCTTCTGTCTCGGCATGGTTATTAGTGTCCTGTGTCTCCGCCTCTTTCCTCCACCTTCTTCTCGCCCCTGTCCCCTCTATCGCTATTGGCTTTTCATGGATGCCAGGGGCTTCCTGGCCCCATGCACCGTGTTCCCCATCACGTACCTCCTGGGACACACAGAGACTTTGACAGGAGATACTGAACTTTCTTATCGCAATTGCTTGCCTTTTCCCGCGGAACCCTGGCACTGTGCAGAATCACCAATTTAACTCACAGTACACAAGGGACATTTGGAAAGAATGTTTAAGGGAAGAAAGAATTTTCAGCCTCTGGTTTGTCTTTTGAACCCTGTAAGGGGTCCACAGGGGGCATTGCCGGCCAGTTCCTGAGTGGTAATGATTTATGTCGGGGGCAGGTGGGCAAAGCATGTTTCCTCCATCTTGCAGAATAAAGTCCTGCTTCCTGATGTAAAAGAAAAAAAAATTTTTATTTTTCCTGTCGTTGGTCTGGTCTTCCTCCAGGTCTCCATTTGGCTGCAGGAAAACTAGTCAGATGCCAATGAGTTTGGACTCGGTTTCATCTGATCACAGAAACCGGCTGTTCAGGAAGCGATCACACAGAGAAAAATGTTGTGTGTACTTGGAGCCTCCCTTCTGGCTGCCTTTCTTACTAAAATGACGTTGCAGAGAGGAGTCCTGGGATTCAGGCTGGTCTTAAAGTGGGTGTTGAAGGCTTGACCAGGGCCTCCCAGCTACCGAGGGCCGTAGACCCCTGAATCTCTGTCACTTCTGCTGTCCGTCTGCAGCTTTGGCTCACAGAGGCCCTCCCTCCGGCCTGCATTCTGCATCGGCACAATGTGGGAAAAAGCAAGCAGTTGTGTTAAGAGGACACTAATAACCACCCCAGCACTCACCTCACCCTGCTGACATAACTTTTGGGGGGTTGTTCCTCAGCAGACTGGGTAACTTCTCCTTGGTCCTCAGTGTCAAACTTACTGATTTATCGCACTTCTCTGTTTTTACCCCGATTTCTCTAGCCCCCAGGATAAGCCCAGAGGCCGCACATAGGGGAGGGCACATTCTTACCACTTCTTCTTAATCGCCTCCCACGCCCACCGTCCCCAAGGCAGGAAAGGTGTAGACCTCCTGCTCATGTTCCTGGTGCCACCGCCTGCCGGCCTCCGGGGTTAGCCATCTCCAGAAGGTGTGACATCCCCTCCACCTTCGGAACTCTGTGGCCTTAGTCCTCCAGGACATCCTAACGGGGCTCCATCGCTTCTGGAAAATGTGTCCTGGGGACCATCGCGTGTGATGCTGTTGCTACACGTCCTGCTGCGTGGGCCGGTCCTGCATTGTCAAACATTGTGGAATGTTTTCCTGGCCATTCTCTTTGGATTTCTTAGGGAACAAATTCTAATCTCTTAGGCAGACAGATGCCTAGCACAGGCTAGGAAAGAGATAGTTTTGTGCCCGGAGAATCAGGAGAGGAATGAAAATATGTTAATCGTTCAGATCAGTTGGCCCTTGTTAGGATTTAGGAAGATTATCGAATCTAAAGAGATGGGTAATTGCACTGAATTGACGGTAAACAGCATCCTTTCTTTTACCAAGAGGCAAGGCAAAGATGGCATCCTGTGTACCCAGGGGGAGGTTAAGGCAGGTACCAGGCCAGTTACATCAAGGTGGCGGCTCCGGGTGCTACCTGGCCCTCATCATCTCGGGAGATCATGCTTTTATGGATTCCCTTTTACAATTCAAGAAAACTGAAGCTCAGAGCTGAGTCCGCTGGCCCCAGGCCCCCCCAGCGGGCAGCGGTAGTGCTGGATGTAGGTCCACTTGTGCCCGATGGGGCAGACTTTCTAGTTCCTTCTACATGTCCCCTCCAGCTCAGGAGGGGATAGACAAAAGAAGGAGATGAGGAGGGATTGTTTTGGGACATTTTCAAGGGGCCTGGAATTTTAATTAATTCATTCATTTTTTTCATGGCTGAGCCCACTAATCCAAAACATTTAGCTCAAGACAAAAGCTAATGGGAGGGCTTGATTTCGCTGTGAGACCAAAAAGCTCTAATTGGGAGAAAGTTCTAGAGGAAGGCGTTGGGTTGGTTCAGTGACGTGGCCGGTGGAAGAGTTCAGCTTGGCTTCTCAGAAGCCGTCTTCAGACGGTTGCTCTGGGAGGCACACAGGTCCCAGGAGCTGGGCTGCCCAAAGCAGCTCAGGTTTTCTGGCTGAAGTCCTGCTGTGTGGGGAGTGGGTGAGCCCAGGGGCGCTGGACTAGCGAGAGCATCCTGGGGGCAGACGTGGCTCCCGGGCTCAGGCCTTCACGTCGGGCTTCCTCTCCTGGTAAGAGCAAAGCCCCTTGGCTACTTGCTTAGTATCAGCTGACGGGCAGCGTTTCTGATCCTGGAAATCTCCTTTTCATAGAATCGAGGTCTTGTCCCAAGACCCTAAAACTTCAGAACTTCAATAGTTAGAAAAAACATTTCTTGAAGACCGCCGTGACTCTAAGTGGAGGGGTTTGATTTTTGATTTCTGGGCTCCCTCTTCTGCAGACGCTCACGGTTTTCTGTCTGTTAAAGGCCAGCTTTCTCAGCCTCATCCCTGCCTGGGCCTTCTACAGCCGCGCCTTCCAAAGGTTCCTGCTGACCCGCTACACGGATTACCTGCGGCAGAACGTCAGCACCAGGTAGTCCCGGACGCCCAGGCTGGCCTGCAGGGACCAGAGGAGCTGGCCGCCTGCCCCACCGGAGCCGGAGGAGCAGGGACTCAGAGGACACGCTGGTGTGGGGCCCTAGAACCCAAGTCCGGAGGCCTTTGGGAAAACCGTGGCCTAAAAACACCTGTTGTAAAGGGGTTTCTGGAGTTTTATGTGTAAGGAGGGGAGGGGGGGGTGTGGATGTCACTGGAGAAGGGTCTCGGGGGGCTTCTTAAATAAACACAGTGAGAAGAAACCTGTGATGCTTGGAACATTGGAAACGATTATACCGAGTAAATGACTTTGACAGCTAGGTACAAAAATCAGAAGTCAAAAGAGTATCTGAGGTCACTCTACTTGTTCAGGACTTCTGTTGGCTTGGAGGATTCACAATTTCTGAAACTGGGTTCCTCGGAGACCCAGGAGATGGGATCGGGGAAAGCACAGGGCAACGGCTGCGTCAGGCCTCTTTCTGGCCCCCAGCCCCCATTTCAACCCATGGGGCACGGGCTTTATCTTCTATATGAATACTCGTGTTTCTATGGAAGACTGCGTGTGTAAAAACAAAAACAGAATATGTTCCTAAAGATGGTTTAAAAGTAATCAATGCAAGAATCACCGACGGTAGAAATGGGGTACTGGCTGTAGGGGTGCTGGGGACACCAGGGCTGGAATCGCCCGAAGGATTGTGCCTTGACACATTCTGTGACTGAGGGGTGGTTAGTGGGGACCCCAGCTGGGCTGCCAGATGCCGCCGCTCTATGTGGCCCAGGTGGCCGGGTTCTAAGCACGTGCGTCCCAGACAGAACCAGGAGGCAGCCAGCATGGGGGTCATGTCACCGTGAGCCCTCCCAGATTCAGCAGGAGGGGACCCCAAACCTCTTCTCCATGGAAGGGGTATCACATATGTAATGGGGGGGGGCCTGGTGGAGGAAGCTGGGTCCGGGCCCCCTTTGGAAAATGAAAAGTGCCATGCTGGTTAATTTTTGCCTAAGTGTTTGTCCTCGCATATGAATTTTGATGAATGACTTGGTCTTCCCATCAGTGATAAAGTCACTTGTAAAATATAGGCCTCGGTTTTCTGGAGCTTCATCTCAAGCCCTGGTGAATCTGCAGTTTGGGAAGAGCCTCGTGTGCAGGAGTTAGGGTGCTTCGGTTATGCACCCCCGGGCCAGCCCGAGAGCTAAGCCTGGGAGATTCTTAAGAGCTTCTTAAGAGCCTTTAAAGAGAGAATTCCTTTATAGGTCCTTTAACTTGGATCTTAAATGTCCCCTGAAAGTCCTCGGTTGGGTCTCCGGTCGGTGGCTCCGTTGGGAGGTGGCAGAACCTTTAGGGTGTGGGTCCTTGTAGAAGGAAGTCGGTCCCAGCGGCAGCAGAAGGAGGGGTTGGGACCCCTCCAGCCTCTTCCCTTTCTCTCTCTGCTTCCCGGCCACCAGGAGGGGACTGTGCTTTACCGTATGCTCTCCACCACGACGTTCTGTCTCACCAAAGTGACTGCACCCTGGGACACGGCCAGCCAAGATCCATCTTTCCTCCTTTTAAATTGATTTTCCTCACACGTTTGGTCACAGCAACGAAAAGCTGACTAACACCACAGCAGAAGCCCCCAGACACGTACGAAACTGGGGGCAGGAACGCTCTGTGTTTCAGATCTTTATCCCCATCACCCTCCGGTGAGGCGAAGGCCGACACGTGTTGAGCGCTGATCCCAGTCAGGGGCTACATGAAGCCCCCGGCAACCTGAGAAATAGGTGCCCTTACTGCTGCTTCTGGTTCACAGATGAGGAAATGGAGAAAAACGCACAAAGGCTGAGTGACGTGTGCAGATTTGCCTTGGCAGCGGGGGGCAGAGGTGGGATTTGGATGGGGTCTTCTCCTCTCGGTCCGCACTCTCCTAGGCAAACACACCGCCGTGGCACCTGTCCCGGCTGAAGGCGGCGAACACTAGGAACCCTCTGCCCTGCCGTGGGTCAGTGTCCCCAGGTGCTGTGCGTTGGGGGCTTGTTCTCCAGCCTGGGGCACCTGGGGGGGGGGTGGAGCCTCAGGAGGTGGGCCTGGAGGAGGAAGCTGGGTCACTGGGGGGGGTGTGCCCTAGAAGGGCCCCGGGTCGCTGTGCCTTCCCCTCTCCCTCTGCTGTCCTCCTCTGTCACGGCCTGCTCGCACCATGATGCTCTGCCCCCTCACAGGCCCAACGCAATGGGGTCTGGTGGCTGGGACTGAAGCCTCTAAACCTGTGAGCCAAAATGAACCTTCCGTCCTCCTCAGTTGACATCTGAGGTGTTTTGTCACAGTCAGGGAAGGTGGGCGCACCCCCAGCTCCAGCTCCTTCGTCTTCACGTGTCACGGAGATGTGGGGAGGGACAGGCTTCTGCAGCCAGGCCCACCTTCTGCATCTCACCACCCACCACCTTCCAAACTCACCACAGACTGAGAACCACTCAGGCGGAGGAGGCTGGCAGAGGAGGCTGGCCGGCGTGGCTGGCCTTCACTTCCTTAGCAGAGGGCTGGGCTCTTGTTTCTCACCATGGAGGCCGAGGTCTCCCAGGGACGGGCCTGGGAAGCTGCCGCTGGGAGAGACGTCCTTCTGGCCTTCCATCCGGGCTGCCTCCCAGGAGGCCAGAGGCTGGGGAGTCCCTCAGACCACGCTGGGAGCCAGAAAACGAGGTGAGGAGGGGTCCCTGGCTGCTGAGGCTGGGCGGTTCCTGGGGGATCCCGCTTTTCCTGCTCCGAGGATGGGAACCAGAGTGGCCCCTTCAAGGCCTCCTGCAGCCAGAGCTTGCCAGAGACAGCTGAAGGCGGCCATCCTGGGGCCAGCACCGTCTTCATCAGGCTGGTCTGCTCCTGAGGCCCAGAAGGGTGGGCCTTACTGTCCTGGATCCACTGTGCCAGGGGGTGGGGGTGGGGCAGCGGGCGACTCGCTGATGCCCCCTAATGGTGCGGGGAGGCACTGTCGGCCACTCCTGCCTCATCCTGCAGAGACTTAGGACAGACAGACTTGGGGGAAGAAATCCCTCATTTTTTTCCCTCCAGTTCTTTGGAATGTGTGTTGTTTTCCCGTTTCATCCATGCAGTCACGTGCGGTAGTACCCAATGCCATTGTGTGATTATTTTCATATTCCATTGTGTGACGTCCTTGTTTTCTTTATTAATTCATCAGTTGATGGACATCTAGGCTGGTTCCACTTTTCGGATCCCATGGGTCAGGTGGATGTGGACATTTTTGTACAAGTTTGTGCACAGAGGGGTGTTTTTGTTTCTCTTGGGTGTGTACCTGGGATCGCGGGGTGGTGTGGTGCTCTGTTGAAGTTTTGGAGGCAGTGTGCGTATCTCCTTTAGGGAAATGTGCACCCAGATCCTTGGTCCGTTTTGGAAGCCAGCTTGTCCTTGGCTAACGTGTGTGCCTCTCTCCGTGGCTACGGATTCCTGGGTGAAACGTCCCCCGGTGTTAAAGTTCCTCACGCTTTCTGCCACACGGTTTCTGGAAGAGCTCTGTAAGTGCAACCCGCGCCTTCAGCGGTGCTTCCCGCAAATGGTGGCCGGGGTGGGGGTCGGATGGTGCCCCAGGAGGCATTTTGCAAGGTCTGGACACATTTTTGGTTGCCACACCTCGAGGAAGGAGCATGCCCTTGGTAGACGCCAGGGATGCTTTTGAAAATGTTCTGCAAAGTACAGGAGAGCCTCTTCCTCCCCCCCCCCCAGAATCAACTGTCCCCAAATATCCATTGGTGAGGAACTTCAATCTGAAATGGACCAGGCGCCTGTCCATATATTCTCGTTCTCCTCCATCCCTTCTTGGTTTTAGGCTTATGTTAAATCTTGCCTGATCAAGGGATTAACCATTATCCTTTTAAATTATTCACCTTTGGAGATGTCGCCTGTCACTAAAATCTAGTGTGAATGGTGTCACAGGAGTATTCGTCAAAGCCCACCAAGTGTGACGTATTGCTGGACCCGTAGCAGGCTACTGAAAGCCAACGAGGCATTACCGAACCAGATGTCATGATAGCAATCAGTTCCTACTGTTTATAACAGCTGATGTGCTATGTATAGATACGTACATTCAGTCTTCACTGCACACAGTGGAGCAGGTCGTGTATTAGGCTCAAGTTCACGACTAGTGTATCAGGTTTAAGTTCATTAGGTAATTGTGTAATAGAGACTCCAACAATAGCTTCAACGAGGAAGGCACATAAAAATCTCTGAGTTAGCAGTCTGGGGTCGCCATGCCATATCTCTTTCATGAAGTTTTGAAATGCCAGGTAAACCTCTGCTCCATTTCTCTCACGTCCAAAATGGCGCCTGCATCTCCAGCCATCATGTCCACATCCAGGCAGCAAGATGGGAAAGAAGGAGGATGAGAGAGAAGCAAGCAGTAGGTGCCAGTGTGGACTTGGGGAAGGTTCCTAGGAGCGGTCATGCGACGCATGCCTTAACCTCTCCCAAGTTGAACTTGGTCCTTTGGCCAAACCCAGCGGCCATGAAGGCTGACCTCCTGTGACACCATTCACACAAAGCGGGGACAGATATCAGAGACAACAGTAACCTGCACAATCTTGGAATCTGCAGAAGCTTGAGGACACTGAGTTGCTGTAGAGAGGTGGACAATGCCATACCCGGGACTTGACCCCGACTCTCAAGTTTGTATGCTTTTCTGCCGGAGCACCTGCCCGTCACAGGATGACTTAATCAGAACCAAGGCAAGAATCCATTAGGAAACCGTGTAGGTATTTGGGAACTGTTAGAGCAGGTGTCCCAGAGCAGAGGTCCCCTAGTGCTGGCTGCGGCTTTCAGAGCTCAGCTTTGCTGACCCCGCTCCAGGGCACAGTGCAGACCCTCTGGAGACAGCACCTGGGAACGTGTGCAGCAGAGACCCTGGCGGCAGCAGAGAGCGGTCAGTTCATCAGAAGATTGGGTAAGGCCGGGAGTCACAGGAGGTAGGGGACAAATTCCTTAGACATTGTCCCTTAAACGTCCTTGTGGGAAATTCCAGATACGGGCAAACGTACGAGACACAAGACACCCCCGTGTCTCATCACCCGGGTTTATCAGTGCCCAGCCTTCGTCCACTCTCATTTTATCGGCAGCTGCATCCTTCTCCCCACCCTCCACTGGACCTTCTAAGTCCTATTTTCTTTAGGTAAAATCTATACATATTTAAATACAGAGGGAGTGGGATCCACCGTCCTGTCAAGATACCAAACGTTTCCATGACCCCCCGAAGCTTCTGGAATCATCC